ATAAACTGAGACCAAAAAAATAATAATAATGTTTAAGAAAATGTTACAATTGGAAATAGTCAAGCAAGCAGTGTTGTAGTAGCAGTACAATGAGGAATCTAGGATCATGGGTTTGGCACGGGTTGAATTTTCTTTGTATTTTTTATCTATATTTTACTTGTTACCTGCACCTAAGGCTGGCAACGGAACCGGGAGGTGCCGGTACCGGTTCCGGTCCGTTACCGGTTCCGGATAGTACCGATTAGATCCGGCATTGTACCGGTCCGGGAGGGGTAACGGGACGGAAACCGAGATTTACCGGTCCGGGGTCCGGTTAGTCCCGGTTCCGGTCCAGTTCGGTCTTTTTTTTTTTTTTTAATCTGAAATTTCAAATTATAGTTGTTGAGAGCAATTGGGCAACGGGTTTAGGGCGCCACCAACGGCTCTTTCACCCCCATAACCCCCCTTTACACCTCCCTACCCCCCAAACTTTTTTTAATACCCCAAACTTCTTAAAATTACATTTTCATCCTTTTTTTTAACTATAAATACCCCTAATCTTTCATTCTTTTCACTCACAAAAATATCTTCTAATCTCTCTACTCTTTACTCTCTAAATTCTCTTATTCTTGTTAAAATTACGAATTTGATCTTTGGAAATTGGAGCTTCAAAATTCAACTTTCAATTTTTGCCTTCCGGTCATACACGTCTACTTTTTTAAGTAGACGTTTGGTACATTCGTTCCAACTCACTTTTCATTTAGTTATTTATTTGTTTACATTTAATTATTTATTTTGTGAGTAATTAATCTCTAGTCTCTACTTATTTAGTTATTTATTTGTTTAAAACTTTGCTAATCATTTTCGTATTATATATAATTTACTCACTTTTTATATTTGAATATGGATTCCGGTAAAAACAATGTTGACAAGGGTAAAACAACCATAGTTGATTCGATCACTAATTTATGGAGCTCAAAATCCAAGAAAAATAAAAAAAACGGTAGTACTTCTCAATCTAAAACTAAAAAAACTTCTCAATTAAGAATAAATACGAATGATTATACGCATGTTGATAAAACTGTTTTTAATATTGATAGTAATAGTGGATTAGATCCTTATCATGAACATTTACAAAGAAGATTTGGTAATTTTGAAGAGGAATTACCTGAAGATGATGAACATGATGATGTTAATGCTTATGTTGATAGTTTTGATAATAATGTTGATGAATATGATGATGATGAAACTCAGCCAGCTACGGCTACTCCCACTCCCAATCCCTCTTCCCCTCCCGCTCCCTTTCGCT